AGATCTATATTATATTTATATTTCTAGAATAAGTTATCAATCATGATATTAATTAATTTTAGGTTTTTTAGGTTTTAGACATAAAAAAATTTTCACTTTTGGAAAAAGCCAAAGCTTTTTCATAAAAGACAAAAAAACCACTCAACTTTCAAATCAAAGACATGCAAATGTATTGCATTCCTTAAGAAATCTAAAAATAAATAAGGACATTTTTGTCCATTTTTGCTTCTTTTTAAATTTTTCTCTCTCCTTTTGCTTTTTTCAAAATGTCCCTATTATTTTCCTAATATGATTTTAATTATTTCTTATTAGTTAAGTTTTAGGAATATTATGGAACCTATTTAAGCCAACTCATAGTGTTGTATTAATTAGTTTTATCATATTATTAATCAAATTTAGAGATTTTCTCTATTTTATGGTAGATTCCAGTCACTGATAGATTTTAGTTTATCTTTTCGGGTTTTGTTGATTCGTAAATCTGTGCTTCCGTGCTACATCAGTCAAAATCAATTTTTTTTTTTAAATGTAATATAAACGACTAATCATTAATCAGTATTCAACCCATAAGGGACATTGCAAAGCATTACCACTAAAGTTCACACGCACTTGCAAAATAAAATCTCAAGATTCAAATCTTGGGTATTCTTCTTTGATTTGATATATGCTTATATTTACCATTATGCTATAGGGGAAAGGCAATATAAGATGGACAACAAGTACTTTATTGCATATGCTAGCGCAAATAGGTAAATGAACATTGATAAATAATTTACCTAAAATACGCCAAACAATTCGCCCTATGTATAGTTCCTATGTCCATCACCAAACACAACATTTTGATCAGTCAAAAGCTCATTATAAATAAAATAAAAAATGAAATCCTATTGAGGGAACATAAATGAAAATTTGGGGACCTACCCATTAGAAGAAAACAACAAAAGAATAAAGAGAAAGCAAAAGACATGATTCACACATGAACATGATCCATGGCTGCAATGTTTTCAATTTCCCAAAATTTTTGTAAGTGTGCTTTTCCTAGTCTAGCTGTACATGTATTATATATAAATAGTTGTTTATAGGTGATGGATAAAAATAGGATGTGCAGACACAAGAGAGCCGCATTGGCTTTGGCAAATTGGCACCATAAAAGTGAGCAAATGGTTGCGTACGGAGGGGGACTGGATTTAACAGCTGCCCATTTTGGTACCATCATTTCGGAATTTAGAGGGCAACCAATATGAAGCATACGTATGATTATGCAGAGTGGGTCCATTTTTGTTTTTATTTTTTCTGCTAGGCTCCGGCGTGGGTGCCCGGTGGACCAACCCACTAGGGCCACTCCCCATTTTGCTTGGCCCGTCAACTCAGCCAGCCCTAGCAAAGTAAAGACACACCACACACCCACCCCCTCTCTCTCTCTCTCTCTCTCTCTCTCTCTCTCTTTAATCTTTTGGGACAGAACAGAAGTTCTCTTGTTTCAACACGGTTCACTGATTAAATTAAAAGATTGCTGATGAGTCATGATGCTCCTCCTAAAGGTCAAAAACTTGTACTCTTTATTTATTATTGATTTATTTTTAATCAAACACTCGTACCCTTTATAAATAGGGTCACTGCTAGGCGTGTACAAACATTTTCCTTTTCCCCTTGTCTTGGGCCAGCAGCACATTAGCTTTCAGCCTTCTCTTGCGGTCTGTGATGCAGATAGAGGTTTGTTGAAATTCATTCAATGCAAAAACAGCTATGTCACAACTCTCTGATTTTCAAATCCACATTACCTAATTAACATAGACCGATCATGGAACATGGGAGTCCAACCCATGTTTTCGGGGCATTATACATGTCATATATGTCCTAGAAGCTTACAAATATTTAGACCCCAAAAAAGGCTTACAAATACTAGTCCTATAAGTATCGCACGACGATCATATACGTAAAGAAAAACGTTCATGAACTTTGACTGTAGTGGCATGATCATCTTAACTTTAGTGACATGAAACAATTGAAATATACAGTTGAAAGTTATTAACGCAACACGTTTTCTTTAAAAAGTAAAATAAAAGTTCCCTTCTTCTTTTCGCCTTTGCAATCGTGTGGCATTTAGACTTTGAGAGGGACATGACAGTAAATTATTACCACATGGTGTACACTGACAATTATTGTTCATGAACAAGAAAAACGAAAACGTTTTGGTCAATTTCGATGTTTTATTTATTTTTATCCAAATCACGGAAGAGAGTACTTACTCCATCTTCTTCTTCCACAGACCACAGCCACCGTCTGATTCATGAACCTCTGTGTTCATGGCCGGGCCCCTTTTGGGCTTTTCAATCATATTATTAATATATGGACTTTGAATTTTTATTTTTTGTACCGACACTTGAACCCTAGGTGCACTGTCTCCACTTTCCCCCCACTCAAGCAACTTCCCCCCCCCCCCCCCCCCTCCCCCTCTCTCTTTTCTCCTAC